CAAAATCTGAGCTTAATGGAGTTATCATACGTGGAGAATAGGATCAATAAACTTCATTATTTTTGGAAAATAGCCTCGACCTGATTCCGTGATCTGCAGCCTCCAGAATCGAAAGAAAATGACATTTCGGTAAAATCGCCCGAAATCTGTGATGGTACGTACCCCTTTGGCATCTGCCAAAAATTGTCTTGGAATAAATCTCCACAAATTGGTGCTTAATGGACTTAATCATCATTGAAGAATAGCCTCGGGCCAATTCCGTGATCTGTAGCCTTCAAAATCCAAATAAAATGTCCTTTCGTCGCCCAAAAAATTACAAAAATGTCATCCGAAAATAAATTGGCCCAAATCGGTGCTTAATGGACTTATCATCCGTGGAGAATAGGATCGATTGACTTCATTATCGGTGAAGAATAGCCTCCGGCTGATTCAGCGATCTGCAGCCTCCATAATCGAAAGAAAATGGCATTTCGAAAAAATCGCGCGAAATCGGTGATGGAACCCCCTTTGAAATCTGCCAAAAATTGACCTAGAATAAATCAGCACAAATCGGTGCTTAATGGACTTAATCATCTTTGAAGAATAGCCTTAGGCCGAATCTGTGATCTGTAGCCTTCAAAATCCAACGAAAATGGATTTTCGTCGCCCAAAAAATTACCAAAATGCTATCTTGATATAAATTGGCCCAAAACGGTGCTTAATGACTTATCATCCGTGGAGAATATGATCAATAGACTTCATTATCGTTGGGGAATAGCCTCGGCCTGATACCGTGATCTGCAACCTCCAGAATCGAAAGAAAATGGCATTTCAGAAAAATCGGCAGGTATCTGTGATGGTACCCCTTTGGAATCTTCCAAAAATTGACCCGGAATAAATTTGACCAAATCGGTGCTTAATGGACTTAATCATCGTTGAAGAATAGGCTTAGGCCGAATCTGTGATCTCTAGCCTTTAAAATCCAAAGAAAATGGCCCAAAAAATTACGACAATGCCATCCGAAAAAAATTGGCCCAAATCGGTGCTTAATGGACTTATCATCCGTGGAGAATAGGATCAATAGACTTCATTATCAATGGAGAATAGCCTCGGCCTGATTCCCAGATCTGTAGCCTCCAGAATCGATAGAAAATGGCATTTAAGAAAAATCGCTCGAAATCTGTGATGGTACCCTTTTGGAATCTATAAAAAATTCACCCAGAATAAATTCGCCCAAATCGGTGCTTAATGGACTTAATCATTGTTGAAAAATAGGCTTAGGCCGAATCTGTGATCTGCAGCCTTCAAAATCCAAAGAAAATGGTCCTTCGTCGCCCAAAAAATTACGAAAATGCTATCCGAAAATAAATTGGCCTAAATTGGTGCTTAATGGACATATCATCGGTGGAGAATAGGATCAATAGACTTCATTATAGGTGGAGAATAGCCTCGGCCTGATTCCGTGACCTGCGGCCTCCATATCGAATTAAAACGACATTTCGGAAAAATCGACTGAAATCTATGATAGTACCCCTTTTGAATATGCCAAAAATTGACACGGAATAAATTTGTTCAAATCGGTTCTTAATGGACTAAATCATCGTTAAGAATAGCCTCAAGCCGAATCTGTGATCTGTAGCCTTCAAAATCCAAAGAAAATGGCCTTTCGTCCCCCAAAAAATTATGAAAATGCCATCCGAAAATAAATTGGCCCAAATTGGTGCTTAATGAACTTATCATCCTTGGAGAATAGGATCAATAGACTTCATTATCGGTGGAGAATAGCCTCGGCCTGATCTGTGATCTGCCGCCTCCAGAATCGAAAGAAAATGGCATTTCAGAAAAAACGCACAAAATCTTTAATGGTACCCCATTGGAATCTGCCAAAAATTTAACCGGAATAATTCCGCCCAAATCGGTGCTTAATGGACTTAATCATCGTTGAAGAATAGCCTCAGGCCGAATCCGTGATCTGTAGCCTTCAAAATCCATGGAAAATGGCTTTTCGTCGCCCAAATAATTACAAAAATGCCATACAAAAATAAATTGGTCCAAAATCAGTGCTTAATGGACTCATCATCCGTGAAGAATATGATCAATAGACTCCATTGTTAATGGAGAATAGCCTCGGCCTAATTTCGTGATCTGCAGCTTCCAGAATCGAATGAAAATGACATTTCGAAAAAATCGTCCGAAATCTGTGATGGTACTCCTTTGGAATCTGCCAAAAAATTGACACGGAATAAATCCGTCCAAATCGGTGCTTAATGGACTTAATCATCGTTGAAGAATAGCCCCAGGCCGAATCCGTGATCTGTAGCCTTCAAAACCAAAGAAAATGGCCTTTTTCGCCCAAAAAATTACGAAAATGACATCCGAAAATAAATTAGCCAAAATCGGTGCTTAATTGACTATCATCCGTGGAGAATAGGCTCAATAGAATTCATTATCGGTGGAGAATAGCCTCGGCCTGATTCCATGGTCTGCAGCCTCCTGAATCGAAAGACAATGGTATTTTGGAAAAATCGCCTAGAATCTGTGATGTTACCCCTTTAGCATTTGCCAAAAATTGACCCGAAATAAATCCGCCCAAATTTGTGCTTAATGGACTTAATCATCGTTGAAGAATAGCCTCAGGCCGAATTCGTGATGTGTAGCCTGCAAAATCCATTGAAAATGGCCTTTCGTCGCCAAAAAAATTAGGAAAATGCCATCCAAAAATATATTGGTCCCAAATCGGTGTTTAATGGACTTATCATCCGTGGAGAATAGGATCAATAGACTTTATTATCTGCGAAGAATAGCCTCAGCCTGATTCCGTAATCTGCTCCTTCTCTCTCTCTCTCTCATGCCATCAATGCCTCGTAGGGCGAAGTCACCCACTCAAGACATTCAGCAAGTCCAAACAGTGTTGGAACTTGCCATGTGGAACCGGCTTCGTGAACATATCAGCAGGACTATCCGCGGTGCCAACCTTCTTCACCTTAATCCTCTTCTCTATCCTCAAGAAATGATACCTCACGTCGATGTGCTTAGTCCTCTCATGGTGGACTTGGTCCTTGGCCAAACATATTGCACTCAAACTGCCGCAATACACCACTGCCTGATCATGATGTAAACCTAGATTCCCAACCAGTCCCTTCAACCATATTCCCTCCTTAGCAGCTTCTGTCAGCGCCATCTATTCTGCCTCAGTCGTAGACAATGTTACAGCCGACTGCAAAGTTGCCTTCCAGCTCACTACAGAACTCCCAAGATTGAAAACATAACCGGTCATCGATCTCCTCGTGTCAACATCTCCAGCATAGTCCGAGTCAGAATACTCAGACACCAAGCACTCTGTATCACTTCCGAAGCTAATCCCCACATCAGGTGAACCTTTAAGGTACCGAAAGATCCTCTTCACAGCCTGCCAATGCTCCTTCCCAGGTTGTATCATGAACCTGGTGACAACACTAACAACATGTGCAAGATCAGGTCTAGTGCATACCATAGCGTACATCAAGCTACCTATTGCACTAGCATATGGGACTCTCGACTCCTTCTCAACCTCTTCTGTGACAAGAAAAGCTTCTTCTTTGACCTGTCCCTGTAAATCTCCATACCCAAGATCTTCTGAGCAGCTCACAAATCCTTCATCTCAAACTCAGCACTGAGAAGCCCCTTTAACTTCTGGATATCAGACTTCAACATCGCAGCTATGAGCATATCATCCACATACAGAACTAGATGTATCATCGAACCATCCTCTGCCTTGCTGTGATATACACAACAATCATATCGATTTCTGTTGTAGCTCAGGTCAAGCATGTAACTGTCAAATCTCTTGTACCACTGCCTCGGAGATTGCTTAAGTCCATACAAGAACTTTTTCAGCTTACAAACATAGTCTTCATTTCCTAGAACCTGTAATCCTTCTGGCTGAGTCATATAAATTTCTTCCTCCAACTCTCCATGTAGGAAAGCTGTCTTCACGTCTAGTTGCTCAAGCTCCAAGTCATAATGCGCTACTATTGCAAGTAGCACGCTGATCGAAGTATGTCTGACCACTGGTGAGAAAATATCATTGTAGTCAACTCCTTCCCTCTACGAGAAGCCTCGTGCAACCACCCGAGCTTTAAATTTAATGCCCACTTTAGAACTGATTCCTTCCTTCTTCTTGTAGATCCACTTGTTTGTAACAATCTTCCTTCCCTGTGGTCGTTTGACTAGCTCCCAAGTCTGATTCCTGACATGGGATTCCATCTCATCTCCCATTGCGGCAAGTCACTGATCAGCTTTGCCACCCGAAACGGCTTCTCTATAGGACTGTGGCTCACCTGCATCCACTTCTTCAGCAACCTGAAATGAATACGCCACCATATCCTCGAAACCATACCTTTGTGGAGGTACTTCCTGCAGTCGCTCTCTTTGGTCTACCGGAAGCTATTGACTGTTGAGCTCCTGCACTGGACTTTGAAGTTTCTGGCTCTGTAGAAACATCATCATGTTGATCTTCTCCACCTTGGTGCTCAAACTCACTCTCATTGAGAGTTTGCAGCTCCACCTGCTTATCAACATTCCTGCTACCTTCAACAACAGTAACCTTCAACATGGGGTTAAACATAGACTTCTCATCAAATATCTCATTTCTACTGAGTATAACTCGATGCTCAGAAGGTGATCAGACTCGAAATCTCTTAACTCCATCTCCGTAACCCACAAATACACCCTTCTTTGCCATTGGGTTCCGTTTACCCTCATCCACATGATAATAAACTGGACACCCAAAAACTTTCAGTGAAGAGTAATCAGCAGGCTTACCATACCAAACTTCATAAGGAGTCTTAAACTAGATTCCTGTGTGAGGTCCACGGTTGATCAGGAAGCACGCCATGTTTACTGCTTCTGCCTTGAATCTTCTCTCTAGTCCAGCATTAGAGAGCATGCATCGTGCTCTCTCCAGCAATGTCTGGTTCATCCTTTCTGCAACGCCATTCTGCTGGGGTGTATCTCTCACGGTCCGATGACGGGCAATCCCTTTATCCTTGCAAAATTCATTGAACTCAGAATTACAAAACTCCAGACCATTGTTCGTTCACAACTTCTTGACCTTCTTTCTGGTCTGATTCTCCACCAATGTCTTCCACTGCTTGAACTTCGTGAAAGCCTCACTTTTCTGCTTCATCATGAAAATCCAAGTAAATATCGAATAATCATCAATAATAGACAGAAAATAAAAGCAGCCTCCAATGGATTCAACTCGTGAAGGACCCCAACAGTCGTAGTGGAGGTCATCTAGTATCCCCTTCGTCCGGTGGATACCCTTCTTGGGAAACTTTGCTAAGATGTAGCTTCCCAAACACACAATGCTCGCAGAATTCCAAAGTCTGCACCTTGTGCCCGCAAAGAAGATCCCTTTTTGACAGAACTTGCATCCCTCGTTCACTCATATGCCCCAGTCTCATGTGCTAGAGAGTGGTCATATCTTCCTGATGAACTTGAGACGATGCAACTACAGCAGAACCAGACAACACAGACCCTTGTAATGCATACAAGGTCTCATGCTTCACGCCCTTCAGCACCTTCCTTGAACCTTTGCATACATACACAACTCCACCTTTTCCTTTGAAGTTGAAACCCTTGCTGTCTAGTAGACTCAAGAAGATCAGGTTCTTTGTCATTCGTGGAACATGCCTGACATCATTCAAGGTACAGAACGAACCATCATGTGCCCGAACCTTTATGGACCCAATTCCAACAACCTTGAAGACAGCTCCATTTTCCATGACCACGTTACTACCATCTATCTGCTCGTAGGTTGTGAAGCAATCCCTGTTCGGAGACATATGGTATGAGGCTGCAGTATCCAGAAACCACACATCCCCACGATGTGCCTTCTCATCAACAGCGAAGGCGAAATCTTCTTCAGAACTGTTATCCACTTCTGCCACGACAACTAAACCTTGTTTCTTTTGTTGCCCTTTTCTCCTGGGACAGTTGTACTTCCAATGCCCCACTTCCTTACAGTTGTGACAAGCATCACCTGCATGTGGATCGGGATCCTTGGAATTCTTGTTCGAATTCCCTTTACCAAATTTCTTCTTTCCCTTTCCACCTATAACAGCCAAACCCGATGGCTCACCACCTGTACCAGATCCGGATGCCTTATGCCTGATATCTCTCGTATGAAGAGCCGACCTGACATCCTCCAATGACACGCTTTCTTTACTTGCAATAAAAGAATCAATGAAATTCTCATATGAACTCGGCAAAGAAACCAGCAGGATTAGGGCAACATCCTCGTCATCAACTTGAACATCTATATTACGCAGATCCAGCAAAATAGAGTTAAGTTGTTCGAGATGTTCCCTCAAAGGCGTACCTTCTTGCATCCTCAAGCTGAACAACCGTTGCTTGAGATGCAGCTTGTTGGTTAGAGACTTTGTCATATACAAACTCTCCAGTTTCAACCACAAGCCCGCGGCAGTCTTCTTAGCAGAGACTTCAATGATGGCGTCATCAGACAACGATAGCATGATGGTCGGGTGGGCCTTCTCCTCCAGGGTATTCCACTCATCGTCATCGACCGCTGCCTTCATCTGTTTCGCATACAGTGGTCCCCACAACCCTTGTTGTTTTAATAAAGCCTGCATCTTGATCTGCCATATAGTGAAGCTATTCTTCCCCGTGAACTTTTCGATCTTCATGTTCACCGCGTCATTCTTCTGAATCGAAAACCCTAGCATGATTTCCAACCAGGATCTGATACCACTTGTTATAAACACGTTGCTATGGATCGGGAAATTTCCGGAATCGACAAAGCAAGAATACGTAAGCGAGAATCGAAAACAGGACACACGATTTACGTGGTTCACTAACACGATGTGTGTTAGCTAGTCCATGGGCGAGAGAGAGCCAGTTTCACTATATCGAGGATATTACAGATTACAGAGTATGAGAAGTATTTATAGTACTTCTCCATGGGGGTCTAAACCTAATCCAATCTGGCAAATGAAACGGTTACAGACCAGGCCTAGAACCCGAACCCAAATAACATTGAGCCCATACACCGTGGGACCCCCGACTAATCCAGTCGTAGCAGCTGATAGTCCGATTCAAGTCACATCAACAGACTCTCAACATTCTTGACCACCGTTAGTGAGTCAACAGAAAGAATGAGGTATTTTATTGGTTAGGTTACTGATCAGTCGTTTGCTTAACGATTATCTAGGTAACTAACAAAATAATCAAGAACCAACTATACGATTATGGTTAACTGACTTAAAACAAACGATGCGATTGACGATAAGCACAAAGTGCTTGACGGTTAACTGAAGACCGACTAATCGATTCCGGTTATAACCGAATCGGTTGCCCTAGTGTCATTAGATTGAGTCGTGATTTTCACCCCAAAAAAAAAAGTTTGGGTATGTCATTTCAGAATCTGCTAGTCCGTTCTCCCCAACCATGTCCAAGCCCAACCAAACGAAATTGAAGCGAAAATCTGCCATTATTTTCCCGCCCAAACACCGACGGCATTTTGGGAAGTGCCCACATTTGAAGAAGCACGAAAACGCGGGCCACGTGTAACAATCTCTTGCCTTCCGGCCCCACGGAAACAACAGCCACGTCGACGCCACCGTCACTCCGCCCTTAGCCGTCACCACTCACCACCCCCACGATCTATAAGACTATAACTAACTATATTCCCTCTCCCCCCTTTTCCTCCAACTCCCACCGCCACCCTGCCCCAAATTTCAAAACTTTTCAAAACCCCCAAATCAGAAATTCCTCTTCTACCTTTCCCTCCACCGTCTTCTTCTAAGAAGTTATCAGCTTATAGCAATTCGGAAGAGAATCATTGGGTAATGGAGGCGTACTAGAGGCCTGAGGTGGAAGGGGAGGAGGAAGACTGCCCGACTCCCAAGAGCAGAGAATTCTGAATTTAGGTGGTTCAACCGTGTCCTCTGCCGCCCAAGAAGAAGAGGGAGCAGCACGTTGCTGGTGGGAAGAAGCGGGAACCGCCGAAGAACGACTACTTCCACCACCCGGATATTGATGCTCTGTTCCGGTTGAAGCCACGACGCGATGGAGCCTATGCTTAAAGTTTAGCCCGAAAGAAGAAAGAAGAAGAATTAGGGTTAGGCAATTTTTCAAAGTAGGAAGCCTATTGATGTGATTTGATTGCTAGTAGGTTGACATTCCAATGTGTAAATGGGTAGCTGTTGAGTAGGGAGCGCTCTCTGTTTCCCCGCCTGGAATTAGGGCTCTGTTTCTCTTTTTGATATCTTGTTTGCAAAGCAGGTCAGCTAAAGACAATTCTAAATTTCTAATTCATTCCGTTTATTTCATGATTACTTCTTTCGTCAAAAAGTTGGCCATCCTCTAGCTGCAAGATGGGTTGCTTTTCTTTTTGTTGGCTCCTGGTTTCTACAATGGCATGCGATGAAGAGATGTCCTTTTGTTGGTATTACAACTTACAACACAGCTTAAGAATTTGAATTTTATTAAATCAGATTATGGTTTGAATCAGTTTTTTTCCCCGATTGTAAGTCATGAAATCTCGTTGTCAGATCATGAAGTCGGACTCCAAAGGCGAAACGCTAGGCTATGACTCATTTCCCTTTCATTTCAATTCACACCATTAAAAATCTTAATACGCACTACATATCATAATGTCATTAAAAGTTGTACTTTTTTCTCAAAATGGTGAATTGTACTTCGGAAATTGTGCCGACTAACAGGCCCTACTATTTGAGACATCGTTTCGGTAATTTTACGGGCAGCTCAATCAGTAAGATATCGTCCGCTTTGAGCAAAGCAATATCGTCCGCTTTGAGCAAAGCACGCACCGTTTTATTTTTGGGTATCTTCCTCAAAAAACCTCGTACTAATTGGGTGGACACTATTATACAAGGGTTCATTCCCTTATATTTCATGAAAAGAGTTGTGTAAATCCCAGTGTTTATGAAATCATACAATACTAGCAATTCGACCATAAAAGTACCCTAGCGGTAGATAGTTTTTAACGATATATAACGATTGAACCATGATTTCAATACAAAATACTCTATTGCTAACTTTTTCCGTCCATACTCGGATTTCAAGACTGAAGTGGGTGAAAGGGCCCAAGTCCAAGGGGTAAAAAGGTTGTTCTTATTGAAAGGCGCCTCCAAAGAGTAAAAAAGAATATGCATGGCCTGTCTATCCCTCCCCAGTGTCAGATTCATAAACCAATGCAATGATGGTCAGATAGAATCCAATGAACACGAAAAGTTATTACCTTTCATTCATTGGAATCCAGCCCAACAACAGCTGCAGAGAATTTCAAAACTCTTGAGAAAGAAGGAGATCAAGAGAGAAGAAAGAGATTTGTTGTTGATTGACATTAGGTTCAGTTAAAGGCTATCTTGGTGGGCTTTGAAAATGCTTCTTCACCAACTAAGACTGAAGCAATACAGAAACCTAATTAAATCAACCGAATTAGGTGTGAGTTTTGAGGATTACTCCATGTAATTTGATCACACAACAACAGTACTGTAGTACCACTGTTGGTTTCCTTAATTCCATCTCAGAAGTGAGTTCAAAGAAAAACCCTAACAAAGCCCATTACTCGTCAGTTGCCCCGCCCGCCCGCCGGCTGATGGATGGTGATGGCACGTTCTTGGTGGTGCAAGTAAATTCAACAAGAGATTGTTACCATGTTACTGTAACGTGTCCACCAGGACTCAACAAATTCAACTTCTGGAACTCATCATGCAAAACTTCGTCACTTTTTGTATTCTTTGGACCTTCATGCTTTTAGGGTTTTTAGAGGTAGAAAGGATTCTAGAAACTAGGGGTGGTTATACGGTCTGGTCCGGTTAAATTGGTCCAAATTGATCCTGTCCATTTCAGTATTTTTGAAAATATAAGGACCGACGATTGGATTGGATACAGTCCGGTCTTGATCCGGTCCAGTCCCAATTCGGTTTTGATTTTATATTGAGCTTGTGGGGATTTGACTGGCCTAAGCCCTGAAAGGGTGAGGAGTTGGTTAAGTTTTGTACTAAGTGCAAAGGTTTGTAACCGTTTATGCAAATTACCCTTAAGTTTTGGGTGTTGAGCTCTCTTATCCGGTCTTTATCCAGTTTTCGATCCGGTCCCGAACTATTTTTTACCTCAAATCTAAGCCCAAAGATTGGATTGGATTGGATTGTTTACTATCCGGTCCCGATCCGGGTTATACGGTCCGGTTTCGGGTAAAACCAAAAAATCCGGACCAAATAGCCGGCCCTACTAGAAACTATTTTGGGTTAGAGGGTTTACCATAAGAAGTAGGGGTGTTGAAATTGTTACCATGGTTCTTACCAAATCAAATAAACATAATAATTATTAATATTGGAATACAATATTATAACCAAACCATCCAAACAAATGCAATAATTAAATTAGTTAAATTAAAATTTAATTGGTTTGGTTAATTAACCGATATAAAATCAAATTATCATTAAGTGAGAAATTTTATTGGTTGATGCTTCAATTCAAATAAAATATAACAATCACCACATACTTAACCTATTTGTAGTTAATCCTTAACATAAATACATATAATTAATACAATATGCTAGGAAATCCGCATCTCCGACACACTAGCCTTACTCATCTCGTCCTCTTGTGAAAATCTTAAGACCGTCGTCAAGCAGTTCCCGCCGACCTCCTACGGTCTCTTTCTCTAGCTTAACAAAGAGAGAGTCGGCAAGTGATAGGAGGTGGACAATTTTTATCGTGGGAATACAAGATAATTAATTTATATATTCAAATTGACTTTCACTTTTAAATAATTTCGAGATCCCAAACTGTCAAATCCATGAAACCCTCTGATTATAAGCACATCTGACCTCATACGTGCTATGAATATTTACCTAATGAAATTATTTGATTCTATTGACTAGTGTTTCTCCAAATTACTCCTTGCCAGAGGGGTTTCCCTTTTTTCAACTAGATTAAAATGTGTGTCACAGACTCACAGTGTTATGATACTGAATCTTTGGTCTTCGTATTTTGGATACGTGTTCAACACTTGCGAGTAGAGGATCTCCTCAATGGTGAGAACTACACAAAAATACTATGAAAACTACTAATTGAATAACAAATCAAGTAATATAAATTGGTTTCAATCTTCTCATATTATTAATCATAGATAAAAACTTATATTTATAGAGTTACACCACTCAATTGCTTTCCTTCTCACCCTAATATTTAGCCTCTCTTCTTCTCCTATCGAAATTCATTTTTCTTTCCTTACAAAAACATTAATTAAATACTAAACTATAACTAACACATATGTTAATCCTACTAGAACACTTATAACTACAAGAACATTAATTATGTTGATGTGACTTGAATCGGACTATCAGTCGCCATGACTGGATGTCAGGGGCTGTGTGGGCTCAATGTTATTTGGGTTTGTGTTCTGGGCTTGGTCTGTAACTGCTTTTCCTTTACCAGATTGGATTAGGATTAGACCTAGGAGAAGTACTATGAATACTTCTCATACTCCTCTGTAATCTGTATCTCCTAAAAGTATAGTGAAACTCGCTCTTTCCTGCTTGTGGACTAGCTAACACACATTGTGTTAGTGAACCACGTAAATCGTATGTCATGTGTGTGTTTTTGCTTTCGTTTTCTTACATTGTCGAATCCTCCTATTTCCCGATATGCAGAAAACACTCTTGACAATTTATATCAAAACACTCTAAAATAATTTTGTTTGCACCTAGAAAGTTTTGGGTGATTTGGTGGAGAAACAATAGGCTGGTAGAGCGGTTCCCGAGATCCTGCAAAAAGGTCCTCATGAAGAGAGTCATGGGACCTCCTCCGAAGCTTAAGTTAGAGAGAGAATTTGGAAGAAATCACTAAGAGAGGGGGTTTAGACCTTACCTTCTACCAATGT